CAGAAAATCACTAGTATTATTTGCAAAACACCAACAAGCATCTCAAAAATCTGGATAAACAAAAGATCTGATAAAAAAACTATCCACCACAAAAAATGAATGAACATTAAAAAATATAAAAACCCAGATCTGTTGCAAGCACCACCGCTTGGTTTGCCCCAAAATATTTCCTTTACCACCAATTGATAATTTAAGTTTTTGACTTGGCATATGGAGATCTTAGCTGAAATGATGAGAACGCCACTAACTTGGCCAGAGATTGACGTCGGAGTCGGAGAACTGGCGACGAACTTGTGGAAGCACCCTGAGGCTGAATCTTGGGAACAGCTCGATGTCGCTTGCAGCAGCAGTGGCTCTGGCAGCGACGAAAAAGTAGTTACACACCGTTACGCGTTGTGGTTCTGCTTTACCTCGCATAGCAGCGAACCGCTGGGTGCAGCCGCCGAAGAGATGGTACATAGAGTGGGGGATTAGGTGTAGGACTGTCAATTGATTGAATTTTGATCCGAATTTGATGAAATTAATGGGAGATGGATTTAAGGTATTGGTTCGATAACCCGATCAAGATCTGAATACGATAATCTGTTAACTAAATGGATTAAATATGGATATAGGACAATTCGATCAGATAACAATTCGATCTGATTTGTTATAAATAGTTGAGTCGGTAAAATATTTTTATGGTATGTTATTTGACACTAAAATAAATAAATTTAGATTAAAAGAGTCATCAAAGTCAAAACATAAAAAAAAAATAAAAAAAAAGTCAATATGAGTGTACACAATGTTCTAAAAAGCGTAATGTGTTGCAAGACATGAAGGTTTAGGGGCTAGGTGAGTCTGGACGAAACCGACGTAAAGAAATATGAAAATGTATTTTCTTATTTTAATATTATTTTAAAATTTTAATTAATCTAAAAGTTATTTAATAATACTTACAAATTATAATACCAAATGCAATATTAAGGGCTTAATAAAATAAATAGATTCGATAAACAAGATATATTATATTAGTGCTAATTGAAATATTTGGAAAGTTTCAATTTTTTGTTAATTAGTAAAATATAGGAAGAACGAATTAATTTATTAAATTATAAATAACTATTTATATAATAATACAATATACTACAATCAAATCAAATGTACAGTACATTATAGTCAAACCAAATGTACAATGTACTACAACCAAACTAAATTAATTCTTATCCCACATTGAAAGTTTATATCAAAATGATTGGAGACGTCCTTTATAAATAAGTGAGTCAATAAATGGATAAACAACTTTTTTGTGTCTTTCAATTCAATTTGCTAAAAGTTTTAAAAAAATTATAATTATTAAACTTGTTTAAGAATTGGAAAAAAAATTTAATTCGAACATTGGTTTTATTTCATAATTTCTTTAATTTTGGATCAGATTATCAAATTGGATATTTGATAACATAGCAAATCGGATATGAATTTAACAATCAAATATTCATTGGATTATTGGATCGGATTGAATAATTATTCTTATCGGATCGACTATAGGCAGATATGATCCATATTCAATCCATTTACTGCCTTAGTTAGCTGGGGTGGGGGTAGAGTGGTGAATAGTTGTGCGCGACACTCTGTTCCACCTTGGCAGCATCGTACCACTACGTGTAGCTGTTTTCTCTGGCAATTCTGCTATATCGAAGAGATGGTCCGAGAGTGAGGGGCTGTTGCGGGACTGTCACTGCCTCCGCATTTGGACTTAGGACCATACGAAGGAGGGGTACAGGGCATGGAGAGAGAGAGAGATCTTGGATTTGGGAGTTCGAGGGTGGATGGGGGGTTGGGGTTATTATGTAGATTAAGTTTAGTTAATTTTTTATTAATTGCAATTAATAATATCCAATTACTTAATTTTGAACTTAACCCCCATGTTTATGAAAACTAATCTTTAGTTGTAAATTCACGAGTCGGGCATTAAGTATGGAGCAATTCAATTTTCAAGTTTTAAGTTTAAAAATACAAAACTCGAGTATTAATTAATCAATTAAAAATATTTTATTAATTAAATATATTAAGGTCACAATTATACAATTAATGATCACATGTGCGTACTTGTAGGTCAAACGTCATATATTATCAAATTAATTGGTCACAATAAAAAAATTTGATAGATCACAATTTATTTATTCTTTCACAAATAAAAAAATTTATAGGTCGGTCACAAATTTTCAAATTACATGATCACAAATTATTTTTCAATCACAAACTATAAAATTTTTAGGTTACAATTAAATAGTTAGTCACAAATTAACCAAATAGTGGTCACATACACCTAATAGTTGGTCACATACCACCATCACCACCATGGCCACTTGCGACTACCACCACAACAAAGCCAAATAGCATCATCATATGAAAAATATGCATTGATTCACAGGATTTATCATACATGATTGCACATGTCATAGATATTATTCCTAATATCTATTGTCCATGTGTTGATTTTGCTGCGTTCTAAACTTATTGTGAGTATTCCAGCACTACAACAAGTAACTAATTATTTAATTGGTGGCAACAGCTACAACACTTTGATTTAGCCGCGTTCATAACTTATTGTGAGTATTCCTACACTACAAAAAGTAACTTACTATCAAATTTGTGATCAAACAATCAAATTCTTCTATGTGAATGCAAAATCAATCAAGAAAAATCAAGAAATATAGAGTTCATCATTCATCCAATACAATGAAAAACTTAGCCTAATATTCTTATAATTAAATTATACAAGAATAATTGGAAAAGCATCACCCCGAAAATAAGAAAGATCGAAGAAGTAGGAAAAATCCACGTTCTTGACTCAAATCTTCAAACCGGGCTTTGAATTTTCAAAATCCTTATATGATTCGCCTTGAATTGATGTATAGACTTGTTCTTTACCTCCAAAATATGTAGAATATCATGAAATTTAGGTTCAATGGAGGTCTCCCACGTTTTGGTCGAGTTTGGTATTTAAAGATGCCAAAAAGATTGCATTGAGTTGTTACAAAAACAAAAGAAGGAAAGTGTGATTTTTCCCGTTTAGCCTTGAGGCGCTCGCCTAGTGCAACCTAGGCCCACTCCTTGGGGGTTTGGGTAGCCTTAGGCGAGACATTTTTGGTCTGGGGCCCGCACCTCTCCTGCAGGTGAGGGCGCGCGCCTCCCCTAATTTCCTGCAGCTAACAACTCCAATTGAGGTGATTTAAAGTGCATTGAAAAGATAACTTAGAGGGTAAAATTCTTGTAGAAATATAAATTTTCCAATTTGAAATTTTGCTATACCAAAATTGGGTCTCAATGTGAGCCTAAAAATTCAAGGCATAACTTTTTCGACTGGAAGTTGACATGTGATAATATTTGAACTATATTTCATCCCTTTGACTTTTTTTCTTCATCCAATTGATGCCTAAAACTCTCAAATCTTCATCGCGAGGTTCGACGTAACTTTTGAGTATTTGCATTTCAGTCCCCCAACTTTGTATTTGATACAATTGAGCATTTTTCCCGCTATCTTTGCATTCTTTTCTTCAATTCTTCATCAGACATTGAGTTTTACCAACAAAATGAAATATAACACAAGTTAGGTAGTATTTTATCGAAAGAACAATAAAATATCATCATTTAAGATCTCAAATAAGTGTAGAAACTACACTTATCAACTAACAATACAACACTAGAAGAAAAAGAAGAACAGGGACAAGGACAAGGACAAGGACGAAAAATTGCCTGGCGTTTTAATTAATTTTAGCCACAGTTTTTTTTTTAAAGGATTCAAAACTTAGCATGCTACTCTGATACTAATTGTTGATAATGTCACAGTAATCATGCTAAGAACAAGAATCACGTATTCTAAATTGGTAGATTGACATTTATACATGAGGAAGACATTATTGTTTTTTGAATATTACCAACTAGATTTTCCTCTTCTTGCTCCTCAAAATAATTAGCCGTCAATGGGGCAAGCCGAAATGATATGGAGAGGAGATGGGACCTAACCATTATATAGGAAGTTATAAAGTCAGCCCATCATTGACTCTAACCCTAATTAGAGTTTTCATAATTCCGACTTACATACTTAAAATTACCACATTATAATAATATAGTCCATAAGATGTACAACGGCACAAGTAATCACTAATATAGTGGGCCTAATCATAGTATAATTGCAAACCATACATCTAACTCGTAAAATTCACAATCAAATGAAAGCCCACGTAATAGAATTATTCTAATAGACTGACCTATGAGTCTTAAATCGAACTCTGAACCCCTGACTTGTATTGAGAATGGATGATCACATGAAAATCTGCAAAATAAAAACATCATCCCCATCGAAATTATACATGGCATATCTATAGAAAAAATAAATCTACTTGCAACTAAGAGGTGCTTTGAAGATACGAATAAATTAACGTTTTTATCTCTAACACTTTCAACTTTAATGATTTCAGAAAAGGAAGGAGCTTTAACAATTTAACAAAAAAGGAAGGTGCTTTGAAGATATGAGTTGCTTGCTTAACACATTAAATATTTATCAAACTAGTTCTTGGGATGTACGTGTGTTGTAATAGAGTATTTAATGGATGGAATTACCAATTTTTTGTTGTAGTCTGCCATTTTTTGCTTGTAGGTTTGCAAACGCTCAATCTCCGAACAGTTCTCACAACAATCAAAAAGGGAGGAAAATCGTATTATTGATAATTACTTTCGATTAATTTTAATAAAATTCACATGAAGTCCAGTTTTTACACGATAACTCTTCTTGAAATCCTAATTTTACCATTAAATTAACTCACTCTAAATTCAAAATTTTTAAAAAATTTGAAGCAAGAAACACAAATTAATGAAGATTGTTTGTTGGTTCTCAACTTGAATCTAGAATCTAGTTTTCCGTGATAGTGCTTACTCATTGTCTTCCTCCTACATTAATTAAAATAAAATAATAAGTCAACATAGTTGCCAAGTTAAGTACAAAAAAGTTGTATAGCTTAATCCCAATCAACATCTCCACCACTCTCATAGTCCTCATCACCAATAACCTCAGACTTTGAGTTGTCGTATTCATCATCAGCATCTCCAACCTATAAAATAGTTCGGCACAAATTTTAGAGTATTGCAATCTAAACTAAAGAGTGCGTAACTCTATGCTCCTCGTAGATGGATTACCAAATTCTTGTTATAGTATTGCATTTTTGCTTATATTCCTCCTTTCATTTATCTATCTTTTGCACAAAGGGAGCTTTTTCCTTATTTTCATAACATTACGAAATTTCTCAAGAAGTAGAATAAAATGTAAACAATATCTTAGACTGCATATAATTACCTCATCACTCATGGACTTCCACATATATCCACCAGCTTTTCCAACCTATATTATTATTTATTCCCAAAAGGAAAACCAGAAATCATAAAGAAAATTATCATGAACACTCCAAGTGAAAATTAGCATTAAAAAAAATGACGAACTCACAACAACAACTGATTTGTTGTTCCCATATTTTTCCTTGTACTGTTTCCTAAACCCTTCCTTGAAAAATGAAAACACAAACAACATTGAACAAATCAATTGTCTAATTAACCTTTAGCCAAACGGCATAAAAAGATAATCAATAAGAAAAATAGAAAGAAAAGATAGAGACAACAAAAATGCAAATGGGACATACATGAAAACAAAAAAGCACTTGGTGGCCTCTTTGGCTTGTGTGGATCCTTCATTTTCTTCTCCTTCTTTGCCTTCCTCACAACAAGCCTAATATTACCATTGCAAGAAAAATCAATCACAAATAACTATAGCATCAAACAAAATGTGATAAACAAAAAAGAAGACACGTTAATCTGGTCCTTGAGAGAGATATCCTGGCAATCATTGACAACTTCATCTCAAGACAGCTCCCATTTCCATCCTTGTCATACAACATGGTTCATTTCACCAGTGTAGCATTGTCTGGGATGACAAAGGTATAATCCTCATTATGGTTTAGGATTTTGTTTTCCCCCCTTAAATCAGCATTTGTTCGTCAGATTGAGTGCAGTGTTTTTTATTGATTTTTTACCAAGAAAATTACTTCAAATTATTTCAACAGTTAGCCTTGTATGTATTGGTTAACTTTTTATTTTTTTTGTGTGTGCGCGCGCCTGTTGGCTCATATGATGCCATACAGAGAGACATCAACTTAAGTGATAGCAGAAGAGCATTAAAGCTACCAAATCCGCAACAAATATCTAGTGCGCACCTGCAATTCAGAAGAAGAAAATCTTCATATAGAAGACAACTCTGTTGTGATGTAGCTTCCTGCAAAAAAGAAGAGGAAACATATATTTGTTGTTTCAATTGTAAAATAAATTAAATACATTGATGCTGTTAATAAAATAGCATTTGGCTCAACGAACTTAATATAGTTAAAAAAGGCAACTGAATGTAGCTTCAGTCACATATCCTACCATATAATTTCACTTTGGCCTTTACACGAACACTTAAAGTGCAAATGCAGAAAGTAAATCAAAAAAGAAACTTACTTGAAGATCTAATAGAAGAGGCACCTTCATTCCATCTTGCATTCTTACAAGTAATCAGAAAATGCCTACATATTAGTTTCATTCAAATGGTGTAAGAACTTAAGTTGAAGGTGATTAATTGAATAAACAACTATCACTCCAATGATAGAATTTTACTGTTAATACAACACATACAAGGTGAGAATAGAGGCTGATTTTAGCGCCATAACCAATCAATTACTTGATTTTTGGTACATCGGCTCTGATATTGATTTATACTGCAAAGAAGAAGCACACATAAAAGATACAGAGTAGCATGAACACTTGAATAGCTGTTACAGAAAGTGTAGATTCATTATTTGCTGCAGAAAATTCACATTCTGATTTGAAAAAAATTGACGAAATGTCGAAAAGTGTTCTGCTTAAAATGATGTTGAGATTCACAGGTATCAAATTAAATATGTTACCTTGTGCGATTAAATTCATGTACATGGATCATAGATGGAACTGTAATCAATTTCGATGGTGGGAATGTCAGCAATGATGGGCCAGTAGTCTCCTTTGTTCTTCAAACAGCGTTTAGTAAGAAGTGGGCAGCCTACAATGTAAAGGCTCAAAAGCTTTTTAAGGTGGTCTTCCATAGGCAACGCCTTAAGCTTGGGGCAATTGTAGATGAATAATTGTTGAAGAGAGGTGAGGTTTTGGAAGCCCTTCGATAGGGTTTCCAGATTCGGCAGGTCAATCAAATCCAACCAAGTTAGAGATGGAGGAAGCACACAGTGTTCTTCATCTGCATTGTTTGTGAAGGAAACCAGATCTGGACATCCACCAAATTGAAAGGAATTAAGAGATGTGAGTTTGTGTAGGCCCCACTCCCCCAAGGGCTTTAGTTTCCCACAAGACATGATTGAGAGGTCAGACAGATTTGGGGGAATATTCTCTTGGGGAAAGAGTTCCATTAATAAAGCACAATTAGACATGCTCAGGGATGAAAGGGACGAAAGTAGATCCATTCGATCGGGAAAGGACTTGAGATGTTTACAATTCATGATCCCCAGATATCTTAAATTTGGTGTGGGCAAGCCTCCATGGGGAAACGACTCTAGACCATCACAAGACCATATGTTTAGTTTAGTCAGACTTGGGTAAATATGGCCAGAGCCTAGTAAATTTGTGAAATTCAAATTTACCCAAGTATCAATTATAAGATAATTGAGCGATGTGCTGCAATCTTTTAGCTTCATCATTGTCTTTAATGATGGACATTCACTTATATTCAACTCCTCAAGACAAGATATTTTATTAGGAAACAACTCCAGAGCTCCACACTGTCTTATCTCAAATCCCCTAAGATCAGGAAGAACATCAATCTCTTGAAGAGACACTAGCTTTGGACAACTTTTAACATGCACTTTTCGTAGGTTCACTAGGTTTCGTGCAGTATTATCACGTAGCCATAGAGTCACAAGGTCGTCGCATCTATAAACTGAAAGACTTTCAAGTGTAAAAGGAAACTGTACAAATGCTTTGATAACTGAAGTTAATCCGAAAATTCTCTCCAATTGTAATAGGGCTAAAGATTCCAAATTCTGCATATGATTTAGCACCACCTCATTACACTCTTTAGCTCGTAATTCACGAAGGGATGGCAGTAAGAGATCTGGAAGCCCGACCAATTTTGAACAACTTCTTATGTTTAGTTCGTGCAGTCGAGGAAGTTTTATAACACCTTCTATTCCATGCCATTCCTCCCAGTTAGGCATGTCCTCAAAAGTCAGACTAATGAGTGATGGAAAAGGAAATTCTCCATGGCCTCTATTTCCATAAAATTCAGCTCCAATCACTTTAACTTGATCAATGCCTCCAATGCTCAAGTCTCTTAGCAAAGGTAGTTGCCCTAATGGTGGTAAAGTCGTGCAATTTTTACAAAACTCGAAGCTTATCTTTGCTAACTGAAGGAATGCTGAATCTCCAATCCAATTAGAGAAATTCTCTCCCCTGAAATACTTAATTTCAAGTGTTGATAAGTTTTCATGGGGCTTTAATGCATTAAGCATGTCCAATTCAAAAAAATTATTCCGGGAATCATCAAAGACATTATTCCATTGCAACCTTATTTTGTTAAGGCTTTGCTTATCCATTAGCCTCGCATCCATTGCTTCTTGAACATTCACAACATTTTGCAATTCCTCAATAGAAATATCACCTTGTAGAAATGATAGATTGCCCAACTCCTTTAACCTCATTCCTTTATTTTTACTTGCAATCATCTTAGTTAACGTTCGCAAACTTCTTAGTTCAGCAATTCCTTGAGGTATTTCATGTAATTCACCGGTACGAGAAATGTCCAGATGCCTAAGATTAATAAGATTTTCCATGCTTGTTGGTAATTTGGTAAGATTCCAACAACCTCTTAGAATCAACACTTGTAAGTTGATAAGGGCGCACACGGATTCAGGCAACCACTTCAGCTTAGTTTGAGCTAGGCCTAGGTATCGTAAATGTCTTAACTCACCAATAGAATCTGGCAACTCGTATATCTCATAACCATTCAAGGATAGCACTCTTAAGCAGTATGAATTTGGTAATAGGAGAAGCAAAATTCTTTGGGATAAGTGATGAGAAAACTCCTCAACTGGTAGTGGCAAAAAAGTTCTCAATTTTTGAACTTTGTCGAGAAAGTTAAATCTAGGGTAAGTTTCAAACCGACTACGCTTGAATGACAAGTGACGGACCTTTACAGAAATCTTCCCAGGAAGATTTTCCTGCGGTGCATCATCAATCCACAAACATTTATCACCAGCAACAGACATAGCTAGATCGTTAAAGAGGTCATGCATCACAAAGCATGAAGCATTGACACTTGATTGTTGGAAGAATGATCCATCCTGCAGTTCATCAAAATATTGACTACCTACTTCTTCAATTAACATATATTTCTTTGATTCCTGTAGAAGACCTTCAGCCATCCAAAGGTACACGAGATGGGACTTTTCAAACTCATAGTCCTTGGGAAAGAGCGCACAGTAAGAAAAGCATCTTTTCAATTGTGGAGGAAGATGGTGATAACTCAGTTTTAGAGCCGGAAGAATTTCACCCTTTTCTTCAGCCATCCAGATCTCACTTTTCAACACCTCTTCCCATCCTTTAGGACCTACTGTCCTGCGAAGAAGCCCCCCTAGAGCCTTTACTGCCAGGGGCAAGTTCTTACATCTTCTTACCATAGATTTACCAATCTCTATTAAATCTAAACGTCCGTCAAAAGTTTTAGCTCCAAATGCATGTTGAGCTAACAATGATAAAGCATCACCCTCTGATAACAAATTCAGGCGGTATGCTGGAAATTGAGACATGATTTTGGCCACCCCTTCTTGTCGAGTTGTAATGATGATTGTGCTTCCAGGTTTTCCGTCAAGAAAAGGACGGCGTAGGATGTCCCAGTCTCCATAATTTTCATTCCAAACGTCATCTAAAACTACTAGAAATTTCTTGTTTGAAAGGCTTTCCTTTAGTTTGACCTGAAGCTTATCAAAATTATCATAATCACACTTTTCAGAAGAAACTGCCTCAAGAATGTTTTTTGTTACTCTTACAGCGTCAAATTCATTTGAAACGCAAGCCCATGCCTTCAGATCAAAATTGTCCCTCAATCTTTCATCATTATACACAAGTTGGACAAGAGTTGTCTTGCCGACACCTCCCATGCCCACAATTGGAATCACAGATATTTGACTATCATTTGATTCAAAACCAAATAAGATTTTGAGTATTTCCTCTTTGTCCTCCTCTCTTCCATAAACTTCCGATTCTACCACAAGCGAAGTTGTTGGCAATCTTTTATAAGACCTCCCCCTCACATTCTCCACCAAATTGAGCATATTTTTCTGTTCTTTCAAATCTTCCAACCGGCCACTAATCTCTTTTAGCTTGGAAGCAATCCCGCGATCAGACATGAAATCAGTGAAAGAAAGATTAGTACAACAAGTAGGGATGAGATTTATTAGCTTACTGGTGCTGCCTTTATTTTCCCTTAATTTGCGCTGCAAAGCTTCAGTATTCAACTCATCCACTAAGTCTTCAAGATCATGAGCCAAATCTTCCAGATCGTTCAGCCACTCTTTCACAGCTTCGCTTGTTGTTTGCTTGTTTTCAGCATCAGTAAGCACGGCTTGGATCATCAACAAAGTTCTACGCCATCCTTTCAGCTGGGCATCGATTCCTACAAGAAGCAAAAATTTCAGCAGCTCACCAGAGGCCAGCTTGTCAAGCAAAACCGTGAGAATTGCACCTAGAAAAACTTCGACGGTAGCCATTGTTATCTTTTTTGTAAGACAGGAAGCAAGAGATCAGAGACATGAATTCAAGAGATATTGACTTGTTGTGTATATGAAGTCGACTATTGGTCAATTGACTCAATTACACAACAAAATGCTTGCGTAGTTGGTCATTTCCGTCACATTCCATCCACTTCATTCTTAAAAAGTCAATTTTTTAATTCGCATAATTATTACACCCTCAATTTTATAATCGATACAGTTTAGCAAATATTTTTATAAATAAAACTTTAAGGCTATGTTCGATATACCAACTTTTCCTTGGAACTTGAAAAATCAATTCATTTTTCTTGCTTTTGGGTTGTTTGATGAGCCAAAATTTCCACCTAAAATGTTTTCTCGGCTGCTGGGTCACGCGTCCAAATTCCATGAAAATAGGATTGCTGTCCATTTATTTTTATTTTTTGACAATGGAAACAAATGTCATAATTAAGGGTAAAAAAAAATTTCACTTTAATTGACAATTTCCATGTAAAACAAAGTCAAACGAATACTAAATTTTGATTAAAAAAAATGATTTTTTAGGAAACAATTTTTTTTCCTTTTTTTTTGGCAATTGGACCAAATTTTATAACTAATTGTGGAAAAATTATCACTTAAATAAATATTTTCTATGTAAAACAAAGTCAAACGAATAGAAAATTTAAAAATTTTCAGGTGGAAAATTATACCAATCAAACACACTTAATTAACAATTCCCTGAAAAATAAGTTTTAGGTAATTACTTTA